CCTTATTTAAGCACCTTAATAATTTATTATGTCTAAAAACTTTAGGTAGAACCTTGGCTTAGTGGTTCCGACTTTTCTATTTCATGAAGCAGTTAAAAAAAAAAAAAAAGTAGGACCCAGTTTAGGACTGCCGACATTTATTTGGCTAAGTCAAGACATTTAAAGCACCTAATATAACATAAAAGTTGAAATAACCTTAAAATTAAAATTCAGTTAGGGCCGGCAAATGACATGATGGTTAAGGTGCTAAATTCCCACATGGCCAACATGGTTTGAGTCCTGGACCTGGTGGCTTAAAAATCATGCCCAATGCGTGTGCATGTACACCCAAAAAAAGGGACTGCTGCGTGGCCATCCTTCTTAGGGGATGATTTCTCACTTTCCCTCTCTCTGGGGAGTACACATACCCTCTGGCAAACAAGCAAGCAAGCAAACAAGCAAGCAAAAAATCCTACAGTGGGAAAATTAAATTCAGTTGAAAACCTTTTAATAAGTATCTTTTTCTTCTCTGTGGAGAGCTAAAAATTTAGCCTGGGCCTAGAATTTGGAAATAATTGCTTAAAATGCCTTTTAGACCAATCACTTCAGTTTAAAAGAACAGGTAGTAAGTGGCTTTGTCTGAGGTCAGTTAGTACTAAAATCAGGGTTAAGAGGACCTGCTGGTGATATGGTTATGAAGGTGGCTGGATCACATATGACTGTGAGTTCAAGTCCCGGGCTATCCAGCAGCTTGAACACACCAAGTGTGTGTGTGTGTGTGTGCCTAAAATCCCTAGAGGAGAATGGAGATGAGACTGTGGTGTGTCCTACCCCACACAAGTGTACATGCCCTATAACAAAATTACAAAACAAATGAATTAAATCAGGGAAAGAAAGTATACTTTCTGACTAGTAAAATAATGCACCTTCACAGATATCTAAGCACTAAATATGTTCCTAATTAGAACTTTTAGTTAACGTTCACCTTAAAACCAAAAGCCTACATAGCTAATGTAAAATCAAATCATTGTACCTACTGTGTAGTAGGGACACATGGTATACATGATTATATAATTTGTTTATAATTTGTCAAGGAAAATACCCCAGATCAGACCGTAATTATATAACCAGTGCCCAAAATGACAGCATCTGTGAGCTCCTCATTCTCCCAAACGTTTCACTCTCAATTCTGAGAGCTGAAACTAGGTCTCTGTTCCACCCCCACTTACTAGTCTATAGATGCTTAACAAGTGTGGCATAAACAGACAGCTGTCTCTCTAAATCACTGAGAAACAAGATCTTCATGTCAGCGCCAGATCAGACCTCAGAAATCACTGGAACATAATGATATAGAAGAGATATCTCAATCAAATGAAAAGGCTATTTTAAGCAAGAAAAAGTACTTAACAGGGGCCTGTAGTGTGGCAATTAAGCGCTGTGCAGAGGAAGCTGGATCTCACGTGGCCAGCCAGGGTGGAGTCCCCCACCCGGTGCTTTCACATGCTGGGCTCGCAGGTGAGAGGTGGGCTGGAGAATTGGAGGAAAGAGTATGGTGTGCCCAGGCCCTGTTAGGGGTGCTTTCTCTCCTCGCCTTCTTGTGTCTGTGTACTCACTCTCTGGCATAATATGAAAACAAAAACAAAAGTAATGTATTTAACTAGAACAGTAATTGCTACAAATCCTGGGTAAAAACATCTCACCTTTGCCTAACCACATCCACTTCATTTTTGAGGTTGCATAACATAGAAAGCTTTTAATATTGTAAAGGAATTCTAGTTCAAACATATGTAATATAGTTAACATGACCCTGAAAATGTATTTACCTAATTATTAGTTTGTAGGTAAAGTCGTGACGTATTTCTTCTGTTTTTCTATGCAAAAATGCATCATAGCTTTTCCAACAATCCAATATTAAACTATCGAGACTGTTCAAAGAGGTGCAGCCACAGCGGTGCAGACAGGAGGGCATCACTGTGTGGTGGACAAGGCTGCATGGGAGGCCTGGGCTTAGTTCCTGGCCTGACCTGAACAGGTTGAGTGCAGTGGAGCATGTCTGTGGTCCAAGCTAACTGGGAATTTAGGGCAGGGGATTGTGATATGCCAAGACCCCATCAAAATTACTTCATTTGGGACCAGCACATGGCATAGTGGTTATGTTACTGGACTCCCGGATAGTCGACTGTGGTTTGAGTCTTGGAACTGGTGGCTTAAACTCACACCAGGAGTATGTATGTGCATGCCCAAGATTCCAAGAGGAGAATGAGAGAAGGGATTGAGGCATGACACATCCCGTGGGGGTGATTTCTTGCTTTATGTCTGTCTTTGTCTTCCTAGCGAGCACACATCCCAGAGAGCAAAAATATCTCTTTAAAATGAAAAAAACTTGGGGCTGGCAGGTGGCATGGTGAAGGATGCTAGATTCCCACATGATTGACCACAGTTCGAGTCCTGGACCTGGTACTTTGCTTTCTCACTTTCTCTTTCTCTCTCTCTCATTCTGTTCCTCTCTGGTCAAATTAAATAAACAAATAAATAAATAAAGTTAAATAAAATAATTCTTTAAAAGAAAAAAATATTCTTCTTTCCCTCCCATATTCTTTCATTAAAAAAAAAAAAGTTACTGGGGGGAGACCAGCAGTTAGTGTAATGGCTATGTTGCTGGACTCCTTTGTAGTCGACCGTGGTTGGAGGCCCAGACCCGGTGACTTAAAACTCACGCTGGGCGCATGTGCATGCATGCCCAAGATCTGGAGAGAAGAGAGGAGAAGGGATTGCGGTGTGGCCATCCCCCCGGGGGGTGATTTCTCACTTACTGTCT